AGATAATGCCTGGCCGCATACTGCACGTGCGACTGTTGACACATTACAGTTCTCTCACGGCTTTCCAAATCGCCAGATCTTAGCCCCATAGAACATTTGTGGGATGACCTTGACGGTCACGTACGCCAACCACAACCGCCACATCAGACGCTTCAGCAGCTGTTACAAGCATTGCAGGAAGAGTAAGCTAGGATTCCACAAGCATGGATTTAATGACACACACACACACACACACACACACACACACACACACACACACACATACACACACACACATGTACTCACCGCTAAAAGAAACATGAACCACAGAAACATATAGAGAAGTATGTACGTCAGGAAGAGATGTTTCCAATGTGTATCACTTAATGACAAAACTTACAATAGGTCAAGTGTTACAACAGAGCGGCTTTATTCTTATCACGATATGCTGCACTGCGTTCATGAGCGTCGGTTCACACAAAATACCACTATGCTCGTTTGTGCATCGAACCGTTCTAATATCTCTTGAATATGAGTAATTCTTCATAAATTAACCAACATGTATGGTATTCGCGTTACTTTTGTCGGTGAGTATATATATATATATATATATATATATATATATATATATATATATATATATATATAATAAAGTCCACATTAGTCCACGTTAGTCAAACATCCTTTTAATATCAATTTTAGACATAGTACTTTCACTGTCTCATGACAACTCTTCAGTGAAACTGACAATGAATGACGTCGTACTTATGATGTCATAAATTACAGTTGTGACGTCGTAATGTATTTACACACTCCAGCGACGACACCACGTCATTTAACAATTGTTGAGAGACATTTGAATTAAAATCTACAGTATTTGTAAAGTAGCAGTGTAACATTTACGATTGAAATGACAAATGTATTAATGCATTCTAGAGTTCAATTTGGGTTTCATCAATCGGATAAACATTTGTTGTTTTTCCAGTCTCTGCTGCTTATTATTGGGATACAATTTATGAAACGGAAAAATAATACATTTCTCGTTTCCGCAAACAATATATATAATTTCAACGCACCCTGTTGCATATATTGCACTGCGTGGACTCAGACGCACAGAGGCACACACACAGACAGACTGACACACAGACACATAAACACACACGCGTCACATTTGACCACGAGTATGCCGAGTAAGACACAATGTAGACTCCATGTAAGAGAGTCATACTGAACGTATTCGCTTGCACTTTGTACATTAGGATTCTTTTGATGATTTAGTTAACGGATTTGTGGTATTCAACAATTTTTACATTACGACATGTGGCGGCCCTCGAGGACCAATTGTGTTCCATGAGAGGCAAACTCCAAAGAGGACATTGAAAGGTAAATGCATGTAGTACTACGAAATGATAAAGGTTAGGGGGGGATGGGTTAATGTTTTACTGCCACATTTGCCTGTTTGATGGACACTAGGGACAAAAAAATACTACAACAAGAGACGTTAAAAAAACCCTCTTATTTAAACATTTGAAACCTCGCGCCAAAGCGCTGTCACGGCGGTGGCGACAATTGCTACGAATCACTACGAACTGTAAACATCGTATATATAGCACACTTTGCATTTGAGTACACGTACAATTCGAGATTGATAAGGTGTATGGTTTGCAACGTTCTCTACTATGAGTTTGATAAATTGTAATGTTTGTAAGTACAACGCGTACGCAAAGTAAGATATCCATGTTGACGGATCAGTTCTCTCTGCTGTAGCGAAATTTAGTGTTAGGTTCTGAGATGTTGTCTAGAAAGGGTATTGAGGATATTATTCATACAATATAATTATGCTCACATGCTGGTATCAATCTTTATATATTTAATACTTGTGGTGCAAATACGTGTTTATTGACATCGTTTCTTCATGTTAAATATCGTTTTATTAAAGTGCTTACGGGAACATGACAAACTAACGAAAATAGACGACACTACTTTCTTGCCCGCTTTGATTATTGTCACTCGACCCATGGCATAGCTAGAATATTGCAAAAATTCAAACCAAACACACTCACTCACCCCAAACATTAAAGAGGTATGACAACTTGTCAAAGACTTCAAAGTCTTTATGAAATGTACACGAGATTACTTTCCGTGTTTGCATTCAGATATTTTGAAATGTTGGACAGCTTTAAAATAAAACATTATACGAACTCGTGCAAAGTGTATGTTTCGTTCAGAAAAATCAAATATTAACAATTTCAATTGAGTGAATAATTAAGTGCCACTGACGTCAAAGATTAAATTGTTTGTCCCCAAGTCATCAGACAAGGAAAACAGGATGAAACGCTATCAGATTTGTTTTGAATCAGAGAGGCTGCGATCAATCATCTGTTGAAACGTTGAAGGCAGAGCCATCCAACACTAAACGACAACATCATGCCATCTTCTGCCGACATCCTCAACTGTTTCATTTCAGCATGAAAATTATTGTTCTCTACCATGGCAGATGTTTCGTGGTTATAAAGATGTATTGGCTATTATCCAAAAGGATTTGTCAGGTAGCACTCTCCAGTTTGCCATGAATTGTCAGCAGGGCTTCGTGAGTAGAGACTGTGTGCATAAGTAGGCCGTTGAACACGGCGTTATGTAATTATGAGGTGCATGTTCTGAGAGTAATTTGCTCAGAGGTCCCGGTGGAACAGAAGAACGTAGGAAAGCTCATTTTAATCAGTAAGGTTTTACGTCCCTGTGTGCAATATTTCAGTAATATAATATCCTCGATTATACAATATTCATGTATCTCAATATATGTCTGTCATTATATGTTGATTTTGGTCCAGTTTGAATGACACAACGCTAAACATAAACATCTGACGGTACATTGAAGGAACAGATCAGTAAGTAGGATGCACAGTTAGTGCCCTTTGTGATGGGTACTTTTTGTCTAAATGCATGTTTAAATATCATTTAACTTAGGTTAGGTGGGCGATCACGATTCGAATTATTATAGTATTTCATCTTCCTCGGACATTTTTTATAGGAACTGTCTTGCCAAAAGAGTATAACGTTTGTGAGTAAACAATTTCCATGTTTTGTCACTAGATGGATTGGTGTTGGTTATGTTTTCCAATTTCATTTGACACACTGGAGAATCACCCGTGTTTTTGACAGCTCTTTGTACGTATTCCTCTGTAACTACGTTGTGTTTTGTATTTTTGTCATACTCCATCATTCATTATTGTTGGAATATAACAGCACCATGTATCATCCATGACATTTTATTGAAATAATTTCACATGAGTACCCGGTCTTACGAAAAATCAGGACTAATTTCCTATCACAGGTTCGTTAAATATTTATTATTGTTTGAAACACAAACTTTGTTTATCATATATACATATTTCATTAGTTTTTGTGTTTTTGTCAAATTTGGGTCTTGTTTCATAGGCTTGAGAGATCTGCCACAGATGATATATCAGGAGGCATTATAGGAAATATAAATATTCCCTGGGAAGTCGTGTTGTGGCCGCAATGTTCTTTAAAGTAACCGTATCACAATCTGTCAGAGATGCCAAGGACGCCAGGAAAACCTGTCACTGAGTTCCATACATCGATGCGAGGGTTCCGCATTCAGTACTCTGATGCCTGTGTTTAGATGGGGGTTTCCGATGTTTTTGTTTTGTGATACTTCTGAAATCAAAATCATTTGACGATGTACAAGAAACTGTAATGAGAGCCATTATCCAGACAACGGTTCATTGAATCCAGACGTTGTTTCTAAAGGTTCTTCTCGTGATACAGTCGCATTCGCACACTCAATATTTTTTTTATGAATATGAAAGGGTTTTGTCCCATTTATTTCGGTGAATGAAAATACTTATAAAATTCGATTATGTTGAAAAGACATCATATGCTGATGAGGTTATTAATGTTCTGTGTTTCCTTTCGTTGATATCCCTGATTTACTCTGATTATGCTTTTAGGCTTGACTTAGCGGTGGTGTAGCCTAGTGGTATACAGCGCACGCTCGTCATGTCGTGGCCTGAAGGCTGACACGCCGCGAACTAACTGAATTGTTGATCAAAGCAGCGTCATACAGAACTTCGTACATGACGACGATGTACTGACATTAATCACTGTGACTATTTACATACATGTGTAGAGACATACATCTGGTATAAACTTGATTTCTTTTCATGCTGTGACAAAGAACGATATCAGAACAATACGTAGCAGATTGTCTAGAGTTTTTAAACAGATCGAGTCTGAACCGAGCAAACCAGTGATTAATATCATGAGCAGCTTGCCAAGCAGTCCTGGTGCTTTGACAGGAAATCAACAAATACACCGATCCTGTCCATCAGATCCGTTCAGTCGTCGCCATTCACCACATTCACCAGGTTGAAGGATATTTATCTTTTTGCGGACCCCTCAGGGTCATTCGATTGTGGATATACCTGCACAAAGAGTCAGGACGACGGGATACCTTCAATCTTCAATATTCAAAAGTATTTTGTGTTGTCACTTACACTTACTCCTGTTCATATTTAAATTCATCAAGCGCATATCTTTATTAGAATGTTATTTAAGGGCATTATAACGTATGGTTACATCTAACATCTATTATAGAAAGTAATCAGTAGTTTTGATCACGGCAGGCATTCTCGCATTCTCTTAAACCAAGTTTCTCTCCCCTGGTATTTGTTTCAAGCAATATCAGCAGTCGTACCAAGTGCTGTACTCTATTTGTGACTCTTATTTTGAAAGAAAATCGATGGGAACATATGAAAATAGTGCATTTGAGGTTAATATTCAAACCATATTTGTTTATCTGTTGTTTTAACGTGAAATGTGTTGTTGTCGAGCCAGAAAACACAACCCGTGAGAGTCCGGGAATGACATTACCCGGATTACATCGTCACGTGACACATCGTATTGGAGCACTTGATCGCAGCTGACTCTGCATGGGTAACTCAAGGTTATAACATAGACCCTGCCTCGCGTCATGGATTTCTTGTTCAGTGTGTTTCGCTGTCAATTTCCTGCGTGCAATGAATGTGAGCAATGATCGTCAACGCTACTGAACATTCCATTTGCAGTGTCCGTTATGTGTACATGTAGGGTAGTGTAGTGTGCCATTACAAGGTCTGACCTTCAGCTGGTGCGAGAACTGCTTTGTTCAACGGCAAAGGACACCTCTGCCAATTAAGTCCACATGTTTGCCACTCTTTGCGAAAGGTCGTCATCCACATAAGACACACTATTTTCAGGACTTTGATGTACTGTAGGGACAATCGAAAGAGACCTCGACCTTCACACGATGGACGCTATCCATGGGACAGGGCCGTGTCACAAACATCTGTTGCCAATATTGTAAGTGTGCTAATTACTAATCATGAATTTGTGATGGTAGAGGTGTCATCATTGTAATTGTGTATCGAGGAATCAGTGAAACCTTTCACAAAGTGTTTGTTCTTTTGTGCTACAAAAAAGTATGGTGAATATAGATAACATTGATATTTTTTTTTGTGATGCAAATGTTAATGATACTCATTCCTATTCGAATTCCGCACGAATGACCACCATGAATGACATGTGCCAGATACCAATGCAATTACTCAACGTTCCGAGATCTAAAGCTCTAAATGAACTTTTTATGATAAAAGTACCGGGATTGGTGACTATATCGGTTTTTATATTATACGAGTATTCTATACGGAAATCCCGCAAATCTTGCCCTTATCCTACCGTGTCCATATTGGCTGACCCCAACTGGGGAGAACAGAGGCCAAGACATTGCCACGCGGCAATCTTCTGTATTCTAAGACACCAGGTGTCTCTTTTCTTTGTTGAACAAATGCACACCAAGCCAAGACACATCGACAATCCATCCCGACCCGTTGCAATCTAATCAGAAAAGAACAGTACATGAAACATGAATGTCTGACTTAACGCGTATGAATGCTGGCCTAAATAAGTCACACCTTACTGGCACATTACGATGGTTAGCCGAAATGGGATCCAACCACCGACGCTTTCGGCGCAATGAGAAAATGCAATTTTCCAAATTAAAAGACCGAGTCATTCAGAACACGATGCAAGTTTGTAGCGGACTCGTTCTGTAGCATTAAAGTAAGTGTAGCGATCGATCAAGGTCGACTTCGGGACATGGACACATTGCCTGTTCGCCTATACATGGAAAGTAACGGTTTGTGTGATTTGTAATGGGGACTATAGTTGGACGGCATGTGTCCCGATGTGAAAACAAATAAGTACACAGATATTGACAATGGGATACAATGAAGATGCACGTTATGCGTGTGTGCCTTTACGGCATGAAAAGTATATTTAACTTAATTAGGAGTATGTCAATATATGTTATTTTATTTTTTTAAATACATCTTTTATGATATCTGACTAGAATTTAGATATGGTTCTTAGATCGTGAGGGAGGTCGGGGAGCCTTGTGGTTAAAGCTTTCGCTCGTCGATGTCCCGGGTTCGATTTCCGACATAGGTACAATATGTAAGGCCAATTGCTGGTGTCCCCGGCCGTGATATTGCTGGAATATTGCTAAAAGCCGCGTAAAACCAAACTCACTCACTCACGCTTAGATCGTGAAGTTACATTTGCGATGCCCCTTTGCACAATTATTCTATTTTTGTTTTCATTGTCTGTTATTATTGATATGAGTGTCAGACAAACAGAGGAACGTTTACTCCTGGAAGCATGTACAGGTACACAATGTTTTCATTGTCTGTTATTATTGATATGTGTGTCAGACAAACAGAGGAACGTTAACTCCTGGAAGCATGTACAGGTACACAATGTTTTCATTGTCTGTTATTATTGATAGGAGTGTCAGACAAACAGAGGAACGTTAACTCCTGGAAGCATGTACAGGTACACAATGTTTTCATTGTCTGTTATTATTGATATGTGTGTCAGACAAACAGAGGAACGTTAACTCCTGGAAGCATGTACAGGTACACAATGTTTTCATTGTCTGTTATTATTGATAGGAGTGTCAGACAAACAGAGGAACGTTAACTCCTGGAAGCATGTACAGGTACACAATGTTTTCATTGTCTGTTATTATTGATAGGAGTGTCAGACAAACAGAGGAACGTTAACTCCTGGAAGCATGTACAGGTACACAATGTTTTCATTGTCTGTTTTTATTGATATGAGTGTCAGACAAACAGAGGAACGTTAACTCCTGGAAGCATGTACAGGTACACAATGTTTTCATTGTCTGTTATTATTGATATGAGTGTCAGACAAACAGAGGAACGTTAACTCCTGGAAGCATGTACAGGTACACAATGTTTTCATTGTCTGTTATTATTGATAGGAGTGTCAGAAAAACAGAGGAACGTTAACTCCTGGAAGCATGTACAGGTACACAATGTTTTCATTGTCTGTTATTATTGATAGGAGTGTCAGACAAACAGAGGAACGTTAACTCCTGGAAGCATGTACAGGTACACAATGTTTTCATTGTCTGTTATTATTGATATGAGTGTCAGACAAACAGAGGAACGTTAACTCCTGGAAGCATGTACAGGTACACAATGTTTTCATTGTCTGTTATTATTGATAGGAGTGTCAGACAAACAGAGGAACGTTAACTCCTGGAAGCATGTACAGGTACACAATGTTTTCATTGTCTGTTATTATTGATAGGAGTGTCAGACAAACAGAGGAACGTTAACTCCTGGAAGCATGTACAGGTACACAATGTTTTCATTGTCTGTTATTATTGATATGAGTGTCAGACAAACAGAGGAACGTGAACTCCTGGAAGCATGTACAGGTACACAATGTTTTCATTGTCTGTTATTATTGATATGAGTGTCAGACAAACAGAGGAACGTGAACTCCTGGAAGCATGTACAGGTACACAATGCACAGGAACTGACTGTAGGTTCTTGTTCCTTGACCTGAGGTTCATTTGGTTCTCCAGTTACACGACAGTACTGTTTCCGTCCATTGCGCCGGCGGATACTGTCAAGTCGATTAAAGGTTGGAAGTTGATCAGCGAGTGCAGTGCACTATATTCAAGTAGTCATCTTCTCAATGAGATTCATGGAAGCATATATAATGATATTGTTACAAGTAATAATTTAAAACGTGGTGAATGTACGCTCCAATAATTTCTCTAATTGAAATCACGTATGGCAAATGCAAATAATGCTTTAAACATTGGGTTATTAAAGAAACATAACAGAAGATAACAAGTTCTTAGTTCTTTGTTTGGAGATAGTAACAAGTTATGATCTTTATATGTACACTGAGTGGAATGACAGAGTGGGTATTAAGTGAGTTCATTGCACTGGACATTTGATTATACCAACACTATTAATGATCGCCGAGAACCTCACAATATGAGGATCAATGCTATATTACAGTGATGCATGGTTTTAATGAATCCGCCAGATGTGATTGCTGAAACGGGTAAGATATTCAATTAGGAATTGAGTTTCCGTTCAGAACCGAAAGTGAATTACCGTATCGAGGGTAATGAATTAGCTATAGGAAAGATGATTAGTGCTATCACAAATTTGATCAACGTTGTATTCATCAATTGAACAACGAAATTGACTTACATGTATATTGAACATTTCTTAACGCAGTATTTCAGCTTTGGTCGGTAAATGATCAGAACCAGTGGCTGATAGCATGAACATCGTCCCTGGAAGACGATGTAACCACCGACTATCATGGGATGCTGGGACCTCGCGGGATCAGGAATCCTCAAGGGAACATTTATGAAGAACAGGTACCATGTCAACTGTGGACATCCTGACTGCACGAAACATAAAATAGTTTGACGTACCACGACCTTTATGGTTAAATGTATTTTCGAAACAAGGGGATATGTACCGTAAGTAGCCTCACAACCATCACAGGGAGGGGCTTTGGGTAACCTTCTTTCCTTCATGAAAGCCTGCCTCACTAACCAATGATATGTGAATCAGAAGGTGAATATAAGAATCAGTTCGAACTCTAGTAACACGGCGACAGGGCTAAGAAAACATACCTTTAAAATCGTATATTGTGTCTAAAATTGTGTCCGATGGCCTCTTATTTGCAATGGTAACGTATCAGTGATGACAACACTTGTTGAATGAACGCAGTTGTGAATGAGCTTACGGCGATATTCGGTCACCAGGGGCCTATGTGCACAGCTAGTGATAGGTATTAGGTTTAATGGGAAGCTATGAGCTTTATCGCGGTTAGACTACGATAGATGCCTTGGAGGATTACTTCCCTTCCCTCTCAGGTGGACAGTTTGATGTGATACCGTTTGATTGGTCGACTATTCTAAGATTTCTATTTCAACCCGAACTGCTCCTTCAGGACGGTTGCTGTACTTTGCTATTTATTTTATGCCAGGATACTCCGTGACGATGATTAATTTGTTCTTTATTAACTTTGGTTTCGAGTATGCGAACGAAACAACTAAACCCATACTTAACAACACGCACATGTACAAGAAATCACTAAGAATGGATACCATCCAATAAACAGTGCTATAAATTTAGAGATGATTACACCAGGCTGTGTACTGAGCGTGTATCTCCGCTCAATTTGCTTTGGAAATTTCATATAATTATCCACGATGTACTCGTTTGAAATCAAGACCAACAAGGGATGAAGAAATCTGTTTTATGCATGAAAAATAGATTTAAACATACTGTGACAGCCTGGAATTACCTAGATTGTTCACAGTTAACATTAGTTTAATCAAAAGAACTAGAATTGCTTGTTACTGAACACTCTGTAAGTTTAGGGTGATTCTTAACGGTCACTAAACGTCATGTGAGATGAACATGTTCATCTTCTCTTGGAATCAAATAAAAGATGTGTCCTCACACAACTTCAAAACCACAAAATGAATTGTCCAGCGTTTCACTATCTAGCAAACTACAAATGTCTTATTTATTGCAGAAGAAATTGATACTGTCAAGGCCCTACCATTAAAAGAGAGAGCAGAACTTTGACCAGCCTGCATCCTTGACTCTAACAGTGCCCAGGTGTTCGTGAAACCGACCATCATGCCCTTCTCGACAAGGGTGTTATTAAGTTACTATGATTGTCCGGAAACTTTGACGTTGTTTTGATCAGGCAGAAAGGTCGTGGATAACTGAGGAGAGACGGTGAGCAGCACAATCTGTCAAGCACGAACAGATGTGTCGTTGTCCGGATAACAAGGATACAGTCATTGACTATACGGTAAAATGAATAGCTGGACGTCTCCGTTATGATCAAACATGTGAAACCCAGATTGTTGAATTAAGTCATGCGTCTGTCATGTTAAATCTGTGAAGTCTTCAAGACGAATAATGACTTGGTTTCCCACCGGGTGTGTGATTTTTCAATTTATGTCAAAGTATAGGAATGGTATCAGTCATATGCGGAGAACACGTTGCGGCACACGGTTCCCAGAGAAACGCATTGCTGATACATACAAATCCAGGGAATATGTAAAATATATTTGTCCAAAGGTGATAAATATTGTAAATATAAATATTGAAAGTTCTAAAACCAAAATGCATTGATGTAGTTAGTTATATAACAGTATGATAGGTTTCATTCTGTGTTTCTGTGACTTTTGTAACATTGCCGGGTGTTAAACAAAATGTGCTATCTGTTATTGTTATTTGTCGTGGATCCGTGGTCCAATGGATAGAGTCACTGCTCTGGTTATAGCGGTTTGATTACATCAAAGAAACATTTGATCACTATCATCGAAGATTAAAGTCCTCATAAATTTTGTTTTGGATGAAATAAACTTCGATCAGCGGGTAGTAAAACGACATTAATATTCGGAGTTTTACACGCATGGCATCACATCCAGCATGAAATAGTTTGCGTTTTGCACTGGTTTTATTACTGTTTTGTTTTATATAGCCGCCAACAATAATGTTCCAGTATATAGCATCTCAAGGAGCCACTTAATAATTACTTGATTAATGGACAGTTTGGGTAAACTCCAAATAACTATATCATTCAAGCGAACACATGCAGTCGATATGAGTACAACTAATGTCCAGTCAAAACATGATAAATGTGGGCCAAATAAACGCTCTGTTCTTCACAGCTGTTCTGCTGGCAAGCTTGTTCAGGGAATCCATGTTGATAACGTCTGGTAAGCTATTTGACTGAGCATCATATATGCTTTACAAACAAGTGCATGTAGTTGTGACTGTCATGTTTCTGGCGAAATAGTGCGTGACATGGTAGGATGTCAATCAGCTTTTACCAAAAACTTCCTGAAAACGAGAAGAAATGATAACGTGGTACATGTATGTCCCCTACAAGGGTTGTTACGACGATAATGAAGGTAATGTTCCGCCTAATGGTCTGAAGGTGTTCAAAGTGGCAAACCCATTTCCATAATGATAAGAAATCAACACACTATCATTACTGCCAGGCAAATTAAGTAAACCCACGTTTGATGGTGGATAAAAATGAAACAAATTAAAAATGAAAATATTATTCAAAGTTGATGTATTTGATACGGGTAGCACGGGTTATATTACATGCATCATATCAATAAGTATCTCACTACCGGTGAGTGGCACGCGAGGATCGCAATTTCCTAGTACACAGTAATGAGCAGCGAATAGGTCTTCAGCAACCAATGCTTGCCGTAAAAGGCGACAATGTTTGTCGTAAAAGGCGACTAACGGGATCGGGTGGTCAGGCTCGCTGACTTGGTTGATGCATGTCATCGTATCCCAATTGCGTGGATTGATGCTCATGATGTCAATCACCGGATTGTCTGGTCAGACTCGATTATTTACAGATCGCCGTCATATAGCTGGAATATTGCTGAGTGTGGAGTTAAACAACAAACAAACAAACAAACAAAGGGAAGCAGGTATTTACAAGTGTCTTCTAGTTTCGCCCGGCAATCAGAAAGCATGCAGTGCAGTCGGGGTGACCTTTTCACTCACATTATATGATAGTTATAACTTACACATATATAGATTTATTGAATTTATGCTAATACATACCGGTGTTTGTACTGCCCGTGAAAACCTGTCATGAGTGATGAGACAACTTGACAACGTACCAAAATAGATATTTACATTTTCTTGTCAAATAATGTTATATACTGTTTTTCTTATTGCATACGCACATTAACCTGACAGCGTTAATATATTCATGATATCGCCAAAATATTAGATATTCTTTGACCTGAAAACATAACTGTTCTATTTACTAAGTATTTATGTGCTGCAAGAAGTATGTTTTTCGCGATCATACTCTGAAAGCCATAGTGTCATTGGGACTTCCTACGGAATAAGCTATTAGTTCATTCGAGTAAGATATACATTCTATTTTCAGATATATACAGTATTTCATCACTTAATATTTGATAAAAACCTCAACATGTCCTTTGCTAATTATAAAGACATTTTGGTATAGGTTTTAACAGGACGTTTACATATGTTTATGATATTTCCTGAGTTAAGTAAATCAAATACGTATGCTTAAATATTCGCAGTGAAGTCAAAATAAATAAGAAAATATCAATTTATCTAAATTTAGATAGATATATCAAACTTCCTTAACTCAGGGAATATATAAAACATATTTCCTCTACAGTTTCTTATCATCTATTACCATAGGTGACGCCAAGACATTGCATAGATATGTGTAAATTATTCTGCAGCTGTGTTGCCCACTCCACTATGTGGGGGTGTCATCATTGGCCTGCCAACAATTACATTCTTAACAGAATTGCTGAGCCAGATAGCCGTAGGGATGGAAACATGCTACATAAATCCAAGTACTCCGACACTTTAGTCAGCCTCAACCTATTCTACCAAAGGTGTGAACCAATTACTCACAAATTGGTATCGTAGGATCCAGACCCTATGGAGCTAAAATAACCTCTTACATTACCAGTATCTTGCTACAAACTACAGAACAATTACTTTTTGTTTGTTCTTCTTGATGACGATGCAGCCAGTGTTCTTGTCATCGGCCAAGGCGCCATATTTGTCTCCAGGCACCACGGATGCTTACATAAAACAGAAGGGCAGCGTTCTGGAATAGGTGTCCTTGTTCGGGGGACAGTTTTGGAACGACAAAAAATGCCATGTTCTGTAATCACTTGACAAGTAAAAGTGTGTACACATTTATGTTGTGACTCCGAGCATTGATCGCTTCATGCAATCTATGGAAGAGTTTTGGACATATATATAAAGTATTTTACTTAAGCTTGTACTTATACTTCTATAGATAAGAAGCCTTGTGATAAGGTACACTGACATGGTTGTCAATTAATCTATTACCAAAAGGGGATGCTGCGCTTTGTGATTTTACGAGCACTTCAAGTCGACCTAATTCTGCACTCGGCCACGAGGCCCTATCACAAAAAATACACATGAGTTTAATAACATGGTAGTTGTCCCAGATGCATCATCTTCCTTACACCCCTTTGGGTGAGAAACCCATTTGAGATAACTGGTATCAAACATATGTGTGAGATCGAATTCCAGGCCCGTGCTTGGCTACTCCATGGTGATGACCTGAGGTCAGATGATGACGGACTACTTTTCTGAGTGTAAGTCATTCATAAGTTGCTCGTGCTTCAGTCGAATGTTCACATCCGTCTGTATTGAACCACAGGACCGTGTAAATAATAATATAAATAAACAAACTCGTCCTCGTCTGTGAGCGTGTTTGTTATTATTATCAGTTACATTGTCTGTTGTTATTTCAACGTTATGTTTTTTCCGAGTATGAACCCCCTGGATGCCAGAGCGACACATATACGTCCCTCCCCTTCAAACCTCAGTTCGAAGTCGAATAAAGTAAAACATACATTATGCAAACTAATACACTTCCCAGTTTGAATTTCCCCCATCTGTTTATCATTTACTGTCATTTTAGGCAAAGCAAAGTTACTGAAAGTGACTTCTGAAAATTATGTACATTGTAAATCTCGCCAAATCACAATTCACGGCGCTATTTACTGTGTGTTCAGAAAGCTAAATATCGGATATTTACTCGAAGAATTAAAGTAGAAAAATAGCATATTAGTGATCACTTGTATCAAATCACTAATTATAATTCTGAAACGTCGCTGATTAGCCTAGAATCGTTTAGAATGTTTTGGAAAATACACGAACGCCATATTGGATTGTGTTTACAAAATGCCGGTTATGAGACGCCTTTTTGATCAGGTATATTTCAAACTCAGCTGCTATACCTGCATCCCTGAATTCCTCATACATGTTAGAAACAAATGACAAATGGTCTTTGTCACCAATGCAAATTGTCTTGATGAAATTATGCGAAATAAATTAGGTATGGACACGAAAACTGTGCTCGGAAAACTGAACTTGTTGAAATGTAAACAAAGCAAAATTAAGATTTTACACTGTGTAGCATTTTTAGAGGTACTTACGTCTAATTGTTGCATACATTGGCTCGATCATCCGTTTGAGAATGTTCATGGAAAGAGTATCGTTGCACTAATTATTGAATTACACATATATACATTACAATGATGTGGTAAATTTCATCAGAAGCCGTAAAAGTTTCCGTCCTGAGTGATGCAATGACTGACACTAAATCACGCACAACGTCGACGGTAGTTATCTGCATATCTGACTTATTCTCTTTGTTACATTGGAAAACATGGTAAACAAAAAACAATACGCAGATTGTCGGAATTTTTCTGATTACTTACGTGACACATTTATGCATATACGATCCCTCCCTCAATCAAAGAAAATCCTCCTGTGGAAATCTCGCGTACTGTTGTCAGTGAACACACCATTTTGTAAAAGTCGGTCACCGGTAGTGATGTCATACGGAAATAAACATCGTACATATTTGGTAATTTCTTTGAGGTGTAAACTTTTAACTCGGCACCCGCGTGTTCTTTGTGTTTGTCTAGTTTGAATTATCATCATCGCCTTGATACTCCACAGACATGGTGGAAACCTTTTTGTGTAGGGTCACATTATTTATGAGTAGTAAGCAGTACATAGGAGTGAGTGAGTATGATTTTACGCCGCTTTTAGCAATGTTCTAGCAATATCACGGCGGGGGACACCAGAAATGGGCTTCACACATTGTACCCATGTCGGGAATCGAACCCGGGTATTCGGCGTGACGAGCGAACGATTTAACCTGACCTGACCGCCCCCAGTACATAGGATAATCACTGATGACATTGGTGGCATGTATTAATGCGCTACTGCAATCATGAGAATAGACAAAATGCGGTTCGATGCTACAAAGGTGCGATTTTAGGGTGTGTAAGAAACATATAACTGCACTCGTGCCTGTCAGATACCATTTATCTTACAACTCGTTGTTACAAAGCGTATCTAACTGGCTTTCGCTCGTTAGATACGTCTTGAAACAACTCGTTGTAAAATCAATGGTATCTGACAGACACTCGTGTAGTAATCTCAATATCTTGCTGCCGGTGAGCGATGCACCATTGTTCTAGCTGCTGGTCACAGATGCATCGCCTACATGTACCCAGCTGTCTGTCAACGATGCCGATCTCCACCTACCTAGCAGCTAGTAACAGATTCATGAACATGCTTCCTATGCAACATCTATGATAATGTATCTTACCTTCTTCGTAGCCGTTGTTTTGCAATACATATACAAGAACGATACATGCCTTTATAATTTTCAGGATATGTCATACATGTGCGTCAGTTTGTTAGCTCGAACATGTGGAAAAACCAGACAAGACAATTCGTATGGGAATAGCATGCACGTTTTATTGTCCACTCCATAATGGGTTCGTATAATTGCATTCATTCACGTTCCACTGCTAACAGTTTCCTCTCACCACATTAATCACCTATCCTGTCACCTGTATGGCATAAGTCCTTCCCTATTTGTGATCTAATCATGCTTTTACGACGTGCCGTGGCGACATATAATAGATATTTTAAGAACCCGATATTGGTAAATTACTGTATCGAACCTCAAAGGACTTGGCCGATAAACCACTAGGATACTCCAGGGAACTGAAGGCTGTCACCTACGTGTTCCAGGCTTTGATCTATTACATCATATAATGTCTTGCAGAATTACGACTCTGTCAGAATGAGAGACTTCATTTAACGGGGCAGTATTACATATGACATGTGCCCGTGCATCGAGTTACCATGGTGCGTTTGGGCGATCGGTTTTATTGTCATCTGCTTTGGTTTTTTATCATCAAATTTCATTTTTCCGGC